GAGAGAGAGAGAGAGAGAGAGAGAGAGAGAGAGAGAGAGAGAGAGAGCAAACACTCACTCCGGCTCTAGAGAGGAGGAGGTTGTGTGTGAGCTCGTGTGAGTGTATGAACAGAGGATGATAAACCCTCTGGAAAGAAAAGGACGACCGATTAGTGAGAACAGCTCAAAAATGGAACCACGTCTGGACGGCAAGAAGAGGACATGAACCACTGCTGCTTTGGATTTTATAGATTAAAAACAAGCTTGTTAGATTTAGATATTTGAGGACTGAGACGAACCCTTGACACCTTGTGTGTGCGTGTGTGTGTGTGTGTGTCACACCAAGTTTAAATAGAGAGCGGAACTATAGAGACCGTCTGAGGGTCAGAATTTGCCATCTGGAGCTCAATTCCTCACTTTTTTTTTTTTCTTTCTAAACGGGGGACAAAGGTTAAGGAAATGTTTGGGCGAGGAGGGGATGAAGAAACGATGACGGTGTTCCATCTGAGCGGCTGAGACTCTTTGACCTCCACTCCTAGAGATCAGCGAGGTTACTGGGCGGAGCTGACGGAGAAAAAACTACAGCCATGCTGTGTGGTCTGAGGAGAGACACCAAGAACAGCATTGGTAAGAGCGCACGACGTGGAGTGGAGTGGGGGGTCGTCGTGCGTATTGGTTGTAGCGGAGGGATTATGTCACTTGGATCACCTGTTTCCTTATCTAATCTGTAATCCATACGGATTTAACGCTAAATCTGACCGTAGAATCATTATGATGCATGAATTATTGGCTGTGATTGGCTGGGAGAGATTGTAAATGTCAGTGGACTTGGCCACCAGCTCTGCATGCCGCCCTGCCATGTGTAATTGGGGCAGATATAGCAACGTAAACTGGGTCGGGCATTGCCCCCCCACCACCACCACGTTTATAAATAAAGTTTCACATCTGAAAATAGCGTTATGATTTCATTGTCACTGTGAGCGCCGCCCCCCTTATTTAACCTACATTCTCATTGGTTTAGGGGTGGCACACAGTGCCCTGTATTAAACCAGGAGTTAATTAACTCGCCACATATTTATGCAGCACAGCACCGGGTTATTATTGCAGTCGCCGCGGCGCTCCGAGCTCCTTCAGATGCGGCTCCTCGTGGAGAAACTCCTCCTCCAGCTGTTAACTGACCTCCTCTCTGCAAAAGACAACAGAGGCAGTTTATTATTTTTTATTGTTGGGGCTGTTTATTAATCAGCTCCGTCCTGATTGTAATGGCCGTTAGATGGTGATGGGCCGGAGGAGGGTGGCTTGCTGGTACAGTAGCGCTCAGTCACGTGCGGAGCGCTGTGCCCCGCGTTACCCAGAGCTAATGTTGCCTTTTGACTGCAATGACAGCTGCTGGACTGTCAGGGCCCCTCAGGAGCCCGCGTGGCTATATGAGGCTTATTATGCCCCCCCACCCCCACCACCACCATCACGTTTGTGATGTGTCACTCACTTTGTTTGTGTGTCCCAGCTACTGGACAGGACATTGGTGCAGGGATGTGTGTGTAAATTAGTGTGAAATACCATATTATGCATATATATGTAAGGTTCCTTATACATCGCCATGACATGCCAAGTCTAGTAAAGATGTTCCATTAGTGGAGGTCTGACTAATGCAGCTGTGTGCACAAGGATTTTCTTCTCTGCCGCTAGTATCCAGGGCCCGCCTAGAGGTTTATGGTCAGAGGAGGTTTGACAAAGGATCCATGCCTCTCAGCTGTCTGAAGGCCTCATCTTCAGATGTAGAAACTTGATGTGGACAGAGAGAAGGCGGTGCGCTTGATGCCCTCCAAGGACTCGGCTCTCCCCAGTTCAGTCTTTACAAATCAGCACAGATAAAAGGCTGAACTGGGGGAATGGGTGATGTCATTTTTCATGTCACATCGATAAACTGTCAGCCCCAGGATGACGCCTCCTAAACGATGACAGGTCTAACTTCTTTAGTTGTCTTTGATTGCTTTAGAGCACCCTCCCCCTCCCAAAAAACAAAAAAGTAAAAATAATACACGTGTGACTTAAGTTATGTTTAGATTTACAGTTTTCTCCCTCCAATAATTAGTTGTTGTCTTAATTCTATCTGGTAGATTACTACATTTTAGTCAATCTGAACAGGAAGTATATTGTTAGCTGTGGGATGCAACTTACTGTACATTTTTGACAAATTGGCACCGTCAAAAGGATGATGAATTAGCTGTTAGCTGTTCCTGATCGCATGGCAAACGAAAAGTTAAAAACTGTGATGATTCTCAGGCGAGTTCTGGTGTTGCAAGTAGCGTCTTTTACAATGCTGTCTAAAGCGTTTATTTCGTTGTACATCGACGTTAATGACATCATCGCGAAGTGTCACTCACAATATATTTTAAAATGTCTGCATCATGTCTGTGTGTTCAAATTTGATGTTACAGAAGGAGTACTATTTTTGACGCCAATCGTCGGGTGCTTAAGACTGTAAAAGTACCATAATTACTTGAAACACCAGAATGCACCTGTCGATTTCTACCGACACATCTGTCTCTTGCGCCGAACAGTTTTAAAGCTTCTGGTTTATAAATCATTTGAGAATAATGAGGGGTGTTAGAAAAATACGGTTTTAGCAAGTCTCTGTACTGCATAGTATCAAACCATGAACACTTAAGCTTGTGGTGCTTGCTTATGGCCCCTCCACTCTTTAAAAAAGGAGACCTCTTTAAGTTTGCGATATGATGTTCAATCACTGTGCCGGACAGATAAAAAGGTAATCCAGTGGACAGGATTAGAGAAGTGCCAAGTCCGTTTCCCTGTGACTGCTGACATGCTTGTATGGCTGCATTCAGGTTCAGAGGGCCGAGCAGTGGATCTGCTAATCCGAGGCCCATGCCTGTGCTCTGTCAGCAATGAGTTCCGCTATAAGTAAGAAAAATAAAAAATAAAATAAAACATCGGTTTCCCTGCAGAGCAGATTGAATATTTCCCGGCTTATTTTGTAGCAGCTGCTGTAAATGACATGAAAATGATGATTTTCTCTCTGTGCCTCGAACTGTCCATTAACCGCATGCTGTTCCTTCAGGAAAATTCTCATGCTTTAGCAGCTGCATACATCAAGCTCGTCCTGCAAATGCCTGAACCGAAACTGAATCAAAGTGATCAGCTTGAACACCCTGGAAGGTCTTCCCACTTTGTTTCCATAATCCTATTAAAGCACCTCTCTGTCTGCAGCAGAAACCCTTGAAAACCATTAACTTAACACTGGAACAACCTCCGGTTTTGCCAAGTGAAGCAGATGCGGAAGTGTCTTAAAGCTGCATTCTCTCTAGTATCCATCAGGGGGCGACTCCTCTGGTTGTATAGAAGTCTATGAGAAAATGACTCTACTTCTCTCTTGATTTATTACCTCAGTAAACATTGTAAACATGAGTTTATGGTCTCAACCTCTAGTTTCAAGTCTTCTTCAATACAGCATGATGTTCATTTAGTACATTATGGTCCATTTAGAGTCAAACAGACCATAAAGCAGGGGATGCTTTAGGACAGGGCTACACAGTGATTGACAGGTCTCTACCAGAGATGTATACGGCGTCACTACGTCACTCCTCCGCATTCCAAATATGGTAATTTCTGTTCACCGGTTGCAAAAAAACAGAGATAGCGACAGCCGTATTCCAAGATGGTGACGGCAAAATCGTCGAACTTGAGGCTTCAAAACATCAGTCCACAAACCAACAGGTGACATCACAATAACTACGTCCACTTCTTATATACAGTAGATGGTTGTAACGTTATGAAGCGTAGAGTGCCAGAGTAAAACCCTTTACACTTCAGGGGCGTGACGAATAAACCACACAAACTTGTGAAATACTCGTCTGCGAACATGTCTTGTGCTTTTATTATGAAAACGGAAGGAATAGATCCGGTGTGCATTAATAAAGTTTGCTGTTTTGGTTTGGACTACAGAGCCTTTTTTCTCTGTACTTTGTTCAGCTTACTTTCTGTAACAAGTGTAGCATTAAAGCATGGTGGAATTAGAAAGCTACTTAACTAGCCTGCTTTCCGCTAGTTAGCGAGCTAGCTAGCTAGCAGCGGCAGCGCTGGGTCTAACGGTCCCTCCGCCCCGCTCCCTGCCGCTCCATGAATTTTGATTTGTGCCTATTTAATAGTTTACTACTTCTCAATTTGTATTGACCAATCATGAAATCCAACAGAGTGCTTTTCTTTCCCTCATGGTTGGTTTAAGTTGTTTTAATGCTGCAGTGTGTGTTGGTGTTACTGCTGGAGTTCGCTGCTCCGCTAACATTAGTCACTCGGTGACGTAAGTGATGCGAAAACCACAAATGTCTTATCTGAGCGACTCATTCAAACATGAGTCAGTAAAAAACAGTCGAACCTCTACCTCTCATTACCCAGGGTGCAGTTCAAAGCGCTAACATGTGTGCAGCTGTCACGATGCGCTGTCAAAGTGGATGGTCGTGTTCATGTCACCGCAGCGCTTCGTAACAGCACCTTTACCTCCCTGCCGTCTCCTCAGATGAAGGGCCGTACTCGAAGGGGGGCAAGGAGTCCGGGGCAGCTGACCAATCACATTCATCCTGCAGGCGCAGCTTCTCAGGTACAAACCCAGTCAAACCTGACATCTACTTCTCTTTCTCTTGTCTGCGTCATGAAGTCTTTGACTGAGATTTTTTGTCTGCGTGCATGTGTCTGTTTTGTTTGATGTTGTGCTGTTTTGAATGCTTAGATAAGGTGAAAATAAAAACTGCTGTGTTGCATGCCTGTCATTTGCACTAAACCGCACTTGGTAGACTTTCCGTATTTAACAGCACAGCAGAACGTGGACCACAAGACAGAATGAGTCCCCCCGTATCTATAGAGCCACATATCCGTCAGAGTCAAGAAACTCAATATAATTCCCTTCATGACCTGATAAGCCTGCAGTTCAATGAGTGCCTCTTTTTTATAATTATGCATTGAATTTCTTTCCTTTATCAGTATTAAAGTGCTATGAATAAAACTGACTCGGTCCTCCTCCTCCTGAATCCGTCACAAAGATTCACTCAGATCGAGAGATTTGAAGGAACCAGGACAGGACAGGGAATGTGAGAAAATAAAGTATGTGGCCGTGTGTCAGAGGGCATTCATGTGAGAGATGCAGGAGAGGAAGATTCAGTCGCCTCTCAGACGAGGTGAATCTGTCAAGCGGACACTAATGCCGGCTGTGATCTGTGCCCGTGTCTGTCAGCAGAGGAGCACCGAGGAGTGACCACGGTGGACCTGATGAAAAGGGAAGGCAGCAGCCTCGGCCTCACCATCTCCGGAGGCTCCGACAAGGACGGAAAGCCCCGGGTATCGAACCTACGGCCAGGTGGGCTGGCGGCCAGGTGAGATCCCTGCTCTTGTGATGCGGTTTAGGATGAGGATTTTGCACTAAAGTTCTTTCGGAAATGAGAAAATACTTTTCACTTTAAGGGTCATAACGAAATTCAAAAGTATTGAATTCACACTGGAGTAAAGTAAAATGGGCTTCACGATGTGTTCTTTTCACATTTGTTTATTTAACTAGCAGAAAACATGCTATTTCTTGATAAATGCAGTTATCGAGACACGAAACCTGAAACCTATATCGCGATAGAAGACTTTGGCCACATCGCCCAGCCCTAAATTTCACATTAATATCTAACAGGATACAATGATGACGTGATGACATTTTAGACGGACGTGTATATAAACCGCAACGTGAGTGGCTGGTGAAGGTGAACAACCGTGAGTTCAGTGAAGTTAAAAAAATGTTGCTGAAGCATTAAAATAAAAAAGTACACAATAATATATAATTAACACGACATTAACACAACAATAGTTCACTGTATTGTGGTAATTATTCAATATAAATATTTTGTGAGCTTGCCCCTTCGTCGTTCAACGACTGCTTGATCGAGATTTAATTAAACAAATTTTCCCAGACGTCAACCACACGAAAAGGAAAAAGTAGTGGAGGACTCACATTTCATGATGATTAAGCAAACACTCACACTCACACACACACACACATACACACACACACACACACACACACACACACACACACACACACACACACACGCACACACACACACTTTTGTAAGAATGACACAGCCTCTTTGAAAATGTCTTGGCCAAATATGTCATCGCCTGTCACGTCCAAGGAGTTTCAAAGACAGACACCGTGCTAATTCTTCCAAGCAGCTCGTCTTCCCACAGCCGAGTTCATTGCTCGTGTGGAGGTGCGAGCTAACTCACAGGGAGGGGAGAGAGAGAGAGAGAGAGAGAGAGAGAGAGAGAGAGAGAGAGAGAGAGAGAGAGAGAGAGAGGGAGAGAGAGGGAGAGAGAGAGAGAGACTGGCAGCGAGGACACCGGACCGAGTGACAGGCCGGTCAAGACGTCTCTCTGTCTCTGTCTGTCTGCTGTCACTGCTGGCAGTAGCCCATGGGTGAGAGGGGGGGGGCGAGCGAGCGGGGCAGAACATCATTTGCATTAATTGGCCCTCCAATGAGCAGTGTGTTGACTCAGAGCGTCACATGTGAGACGGCATGTACAATCATCTGTGTCAGTGTTTGAAGAGGCTCTCAGCCACCCGCCCACTGTTAGTCGACATACTGACTCACAGATTATTAGTGCCGTTCGGACACAAATTAATGACTTGTTAGTTCTATTTCTGCCTCTTTCAGACAGTCGGTGTCTGTGTTGTTGGTGTCGTTTTGTCCAACTGTAGGAAAAATGGGGCGAGTCCAGTGCGTTTAGAGGGAAAAATGTGAGAGGTAGAGGCAATAAATGAGCTAAAAGTTGCTAAAGAGCTCCGCAGAGTCATGTTACGGATGTTTGTAGACAAATCACAAAACCCAAGTGACAGGCAGTGAAGCCGGAGCTTTTTAGGGGACAGTCAGTAAACCGGCCTTCATCTCGACTGCCTGTCTGTGACTTTTCCACAGGAGTGACCAGCTGAATGTGGGAGACTACATCAAGTCAGTGAACGGCATCAACCTGTCGAAGCTTCGCCACGATGAGATCATCAGCCTGCTGAAGAACATCGGGGAGCGAGTGGTGCTGGAGGTGGAGTACGAGCTGCCTCCGTTCGGTAGGTGAAGTTCTGCGAGGCAAATGTTCTGACCAACAAACGGTCGGATGTTTGGAGACTGAAACAAAATGCCTTTTGTGTTTTCAAATGCAGAAAGAGAGGAAATGGGTAATGAATTAGTGTTTTAGTTGTGGTAGTATAGTAGTCTAGATGTCGAGGTTAAAACTGCACCAAATTCTGTGGAAAAGTTAAAATTCTTTGAACATCCAAGTTACATGAAACAGTTTTTTAGCATTTACATATTTGACCAGCCCACCGAGAGTCTGTTTCTGTGTCACGTGGGTTTCACCAGGGCACCTTCAGGAGACTAGAGGAAGGTCCGGAGCATAAACTGTATATAAGAAGCGGGCGGAGTCGTCGTGACGTCATCCATAAATTTGTGCACTGCCATTATGAAGGCACTTGTTCGGCATTCCGGCCGTCGCCATCTTGTTTTTTTGCAACCAGTGAACGGAGGTGACCATATTTGGACTGTGGAGGAGTGACGTAGAGATGTCGTATATGGCTCTAGTAGAGACCTGTCAATCACTGTGTAGCCCCGCCCTAAAGCATCCCCTGCTTTATGGTCTGTTTGACTCTAAATGGACCATAATGTACTAAATAAACATCATGCTGTATTGAAGAAGACTTGAAACTGTTACAATGTTTACTGAGGTAATAAATCAAGAGAGAAGTAGAGTCATTTTCTCATAGACTTCTATACAACCAGAGGAGTCGCCCCCTGCTGGACACTAGAGAGAATGCAGGTTGAAGGCACTTCAGCATTGGCTTCATTTTTTAAACCAGAGGTTTCCGCCTGGTTCTGATCCTATTAACTCCAATGGGAGAACGTGAACACAGATTATAATCAATTCTGTCGCTCCACAGTCACCAAAGTAAATATTGGACCCTTTTTTCACAAGCCACATATCTTCCAAACATTCTGACACTGAAATGGACATTTTTTTAAACACAAATCAGGAGAAATTTAACTTTGTTCGAGGACTTTTCTCTGTCTCAGCAACACACCCTCACGAGATCTGGCAATAGCGTTGGTGAACGCTCAAGCTGACTAATTTTGTTCAGGCTAAATAAGGCTGTTAGCTGAGTAAATATGATAGCAAGATAAAATATAAATATGTTATACAAATTTCAAATATTTGTTGAAGCTAATAATGCATCATCTTTGTCACAGAGCATATTTTGGTTACCTAGACTCTAATCAAGAAATTCTGAAGCAAGTTCATCTCCGTTTTAATTGGACATCTTTTGACCTGTAAAGCACCAGATCGATACTTATTGGGTTTCCTTGATCAAGGCAGTTCGTCACTTTGGCTTTTCACTGCTCTTGAATCATTAGCATGTGTCAAACACATGGAATTAATTTCCCCACTGAGATTAATTTAACATATTTCCACAATGCTTCATTAATTGTCACGATTCAACCCTCTTACAGATGACCCTATAATCAAAATGTTGTAAAAAGCTTTCTACATTGCTAATAATAATTGTCTGAATCTGTCCTTTCTCAGTCCAGAACCCATCAGGACTCTTAACCAAAACCATAGAGGTGTGTTTACACAAGGAGGGAAACAGCTTTGGATTTGTCATGAGAGGTAGGTGGGCGGGATGTTTCTGTGTAAATCCTTCAGTGAAAATAATGAGCTTTTTTGGGTTTCTTTGCACTGATTTATGTTGTGGGTGTTTTTATTTTTATTTAGGAGGCTTCCACGAGGACTGGCGGAGGTCTCGTCCTCTGGTGGTTACGTACGTGCGGCCCGGAGGTCCTGCTGACAGGTGAGGGCACGAAGGACGAGTTAGTGTTTCTGTTTGTATACAAGTGCTGCTGTGTGTGGCTTGTATGCATTTTTATGTCTCGATCATGCATGAATGAGCCTTTTCAAACGATTGCATGTGTGCGTGCATGCATGTTTCTATATATATTTAGATGTATGGACTAATGCACATGTGTTTTACTAATTGCAATGAACGTATTCAACAGTGAATCGCGTGGAATTATATTATTAACGATTAGGCTTCTAAATCTGTGGTATGTTTCCGTGCATATTATTTATTTTGCATCAGTCTTCGCTCAGGCCGGCGCACGAAATTGAGGCTGTGACACATATATGTTATCTTCAAAGCAGAAAAGGGCACCGCTCATCCTGCGGCTAATGCAACATTGCACTTTTCCCCATGAAAAAAATAAAAAATAAAACGAGAGCACCGAAACACTGGATCAAAGATAATTCACCATCAAAGACTTTTACGGCCGCTTATCTCGTTTATCCTTCGTCTCACCTGGGAGGGAACGCTCATGTGGAACTGTTTAATGATTTACTGTGACTGGTGTTTGAACATCTTGTTGGAGCATCACGTGCTGGATGCTTAATATACTGTATTTTGTTCCCTGTCTTTCTCCTCCTGTGTTTCTCCAGAGAGGGCACTTTGAAGGCCGGAGACCGAGTGTTGAGCGTAGACGGGATGCCTTTAAACCGGGAGAAGCACGCTGACGCTTTGACCATGCTGATGCAGAGCAGCCAGGAAGCTCTGTTCCTGATCGAGTATGACGTCTCTGTCATGGGTGAGCACACACACACCACACACACACACACACATATATGTGGAGGCTTGGTAGGGCAGCGTTGCTCTGAGGGTAAATAATGTGGCCGTTTGGCTGCGTGGATGTGAGGGTGTGTCTGTGCTGGAGACGCCACCAGGGGAGTCACTCTGGCCCAAGAGCACATTTCAACAGGGAAAGGGTAGATGGGTAATATTCTGTGTTTTATTATAGTGTGTGGATCTCTCTCTTCTCCTGAATCATGGCAGGTTTAAAAAAAATAATACTGGTAAATATCAGTAAACAGTAGGGCTGCACCTAACGATTATTTTTTTTATCTAACTAATTTATTATTATTTATTTATTATTCGAAATATTTTTACATTTTTTATTTCCTAAACAATAAATGTATCCAAAATCAAAATCCAACTTGTCTGATTTAATATTTTAATATTTTATTCAATCATTTTCTCTTAAAAACAAACAAATGTAACAAGATGATAGACCCCGATCAGAAAAATACTGGACCTCAAATTCAGAAGGATTGTGTGACATTCATTTAATCACTTTATCTTGCAACCCTTTCCTCTATGTGTACAAAAATACTAGATTTAAAAACTTAAAATGGTGATGACATCGATTTATTTCGCTGGAAAAATATGCAGCTAAGATAATCAAATGTATTTTTGCATCAGTGTGGGGCAAGGGGAAATAAGTGCAATGATTCATAGACTGCAACAGCAGAATGTAATGTTAGTGTAAGCCAATTTCACACTCACAGTCTACACAGCCGGGGAAGTAAACAACAAACATGAAACGGCCGAATAACGTTAGCTGACGCATGGTGTAACACAGGAGTAGCGAACCTCAGGCAGCTTAACCAATGGCACACTAATAGGTGTGCAATACAGAGTTTTTGGGAAATGTTGAAGTGCCCTCTCGTCTACATGCCACATGACCCGTTTCACAGCCAGTTATTTAAGGTAGTATGATAGATTTTTTGAAATCTCTATATGACCTACATCAGTAAACAAGAACATCAGCGAGAAGATTGTCTATTTCTATATAGTTATTCTTAATGCTCGTCATCGGTGCCATCGGGTCGGATTCAGGTAAAATCTGATCAAATGAAGGTTCACCAGAAACTCCTTCAGCTCAGACTCCATCATGGACAAACCCAGATCTTTGCTGCTGCTTCAACCTGCAGTCGGAGCTCCGGAGGGAGGAGGAGAGCTCAGCTCCTGGCAGCAGCAGCAGCGTCTCCTCCTCCTCCTCCTCCTCCTCCTGCAGGAGCAGAGCTTCTCCTCTCTGGGAGCCGACACCGACACCACGCTGCTGGAGACCCAGGCCGTATTGCTGGACTCGCTGGAGGGAAGGGAGGCACGGGAGAACCAGGACTGAGAGAGGCAGACTGTCAGACCCTGCTGCAGTAAAATCAGAGGTTTTCTAAGGGACTCTGGTGCTTCAAAACACTACCACTTTTGTCCACAGGGACCGCCACAATCAACACAAAATGAAAGTTCCTTGCAGTAGCTTTAATGTTAATCTAATATTGACATAGCATACTGATTAACAAAATCATTTAAAAAAGATGCCGACACCTGGTGTGACGTTACGTTACCATAACAGCAGCGGTGCAGAAATTACTTTTAACGAGTAGAAAGTCTACAAACAGCACATTTGGCCATACAGGTTTGTTCGGTTGTTTCTTTAGTTCATTTTGACGGATTTTATTCTAATGTTGTGAAAAAGGAATAACTACCAACGCAGACCCGTCTGACGGTGAGTGTACAGAGCGAATCCAATCTGTTTTTGAGCTAAAAAGCCTCCTCACTATTAGGTCAGAAAGTAGTAAAACACGCTCACTGAAGACAGGAACTCACTACAGATTATAACCTCCATTTGGTCACGGTGACTAATTCTCCATAAGATCACAAACTCTGCTCTTTGCAAACTAGGGCAGGTCACCAAGGACGTTTGACACACATTACCTCTCTGCATGTGGGAGTTTTGGGATCCAGACCTCCTGCCTACAGACTGATCCTGTCAGAGGGTTCACAATAACAAGAGACATTTTGGAGCTAAAATCTGTGAAATATACAAACACGATATTTTCAGTTCAAGCTTAAGTGTTGCTTAATTGCTTTAACCCGTTTTGTGTAACACTGCGGCAATTCATAAAAAAACACAAAGAGAAATCATCACATACTGTAAGTTTGTACTGAAGCACAGCACTGCACTCGTCCTGCAAAAGTTCAAGTCAAGTTTGTTCAAGTCAAGACAGTTAAACGTCTGAGGAAGTGCAGCAAAGGACAAGACAATAAAATTGTACGTCTTTATGTCATTTCTATTTTCAGAACTGGAGGTTGCCGTCTGCTTCAAAGGCAGCATGTATGCTCTGTCCTCCCTCTGTCCGTTCTTCTTCCTCTGATAAAGGAGAGAATGCAGCCTTAAAAGGCTGCATTCTCTCTAGTGTCCACCAGGGGGCGACTCCTCTGGTTGTATAGAAGTCTATGAGAA